AAATTTATATTTTATTCAAAAATAAAATCATTATTTTTTTTAAAAAACACATAATCTATACTATCTATATTATATTATAAAACATTTGACAAAAACTCTTAGAAACAAATTTTTATGTACGAAGTATTGTTTATTAATACATATTACTTAAAATTTAAGATTACAAGTAAATTATGCATAAGTACAACTTTTTAAAGCTCCATACTTGAATTCGTCTAACTAACTGCATATAAACATAATCAAATATTGGATAAATATCTCATTTTAAATATAAAAAATCGAAAATATAATTATGATAATCATTTTAATTAAGGAAATTACACCAAAACAAAAGAACTTTTAAAAAGATTAATTTAATACTGATATCGATATTTTTTTTCAAAATTTTATGATATTTTTAAATTTATTTTTATTTGAAAATAAAAATATTACCACTTTCTCAAAACCTCATAAAACCAATGTTTACTTAAAATTCAAGATTACAAGTAAATTATGCAAAACTACAACTTATCAAAGCTCGATTTTTGAATTCGTATAACTAATTGCGGATAAATATAATCAAATAGAGAATAAACATCTTATTTTAAAATATAAAAAATCTAAAATATAATTAGGATAATTATCGAGTTCTAAAAAAATAATTAATTGTTATTTTTATAAGAAAAATATATTATTAAACCAAATATAAATTAATTCGTTATTGTACCTAAAAAAATTGAATTAAAAAATTACACAAAAAATGAGGAATTTTAAATAGTTAATTTGATACGAATATCGATATATTTTTATTATGCATAAAGTATTGTATATTGATACATATTACTTAAAATTCAAGATTACAAGTAATTATGCATAAGAACAACTTATTAAAGCTCGATGTTTGAATTCGTATTAAACATAATCAAATAGAGGATGAACATCTCATTTTAAAATATAAAAAATCTAAAATATAATTAGAATAATTATCGACTTCCAACAAAATAAATAATTATTATCTTTATAAAAAATTATATTATTAAACCAAATATAAATTACTTCGTTATTGTACATAAATTAAATTATTAAAAAATTGGATTAAAAAATTACACAAAAAAATGAGGAATTTCAAATAGTTAATTTGATACTAATATCGATATATYTTTGTCAAATTTTTATGATATCGTCAAACATATATTTTATTCAAAAATAAAAACATCATTGTTTTCTCAAAATCACATAAAG